TCCCAGACTCGTTTTGGAAAGAATTCTCTGCAAATATGGCACATGTACAGGAAGAACTGCAGGATGTAGATGAACCAACTCTTGATTTTGCTGTCCTGGTGGCCAGGGCGGGGAGGGGTGTAGCAGAGCTACTTGTGGATCCTGTATTTCATGGTTGGATGAAATCTCTAAGGATAACGGGGTATATGCAAGGATGGAAAACTAGCTATTCCCACAGTAAACATTTGATTCAAGACAAAGAGTGCAGGATTTGTGTGCTGGGAGACCAAAAATGGGATCCTAGGAATGAGACTGAGAAAGCAGAGCAGTATTTCTTCTCCTGGGAATCTGAGAGGGTGAAGAGGACATTGAAACCTACAGAAATGCAGAAATTCATAGTAGATGAAGGTAGAGTGTATGATGAAAGAAGGCTCTCTCCCGAATACCAGATCAGGAATTAAGATTTAGATCAAGTAGATTTCTTAGACAAGCATGTTATAGTGGGAAGAATTCCTGTGGTGCTTCCGGATTCTCCAGTGTTGTATGCTTATCTGATGTATGTTCACATGAAAACCAGTGTTCATGCCTCTCTGGAAACCACAGTTAAGGAGATACGCAGGAAAATGAGAGTGGTGAAAGGTTTGAGATGGCTGGTCAGGAGAGTAATTGCAGATTGTGTAAAGTGCAGATTGATAGAGAAGAAAACCCTGGAATTGAGGCTAGCTAGTCATCCAGAAGCAAGGACGGTCCTAGCTCCATGTTTTCACTCTTATATGATGGATATTTGTTACGGATTTAAAGGTCAAACTTACAAAAGGTCCAAAGCAGTTATCAAGATCTATGCGTTAGTGATAGTATGTCTGCTGACTGGAGCTACTAACATAATGGCTTTGGAAGGGATTGAAACTCAAGATGTATGTGCAGCTCTAGAACGACATTCAAACCGGTATGGAGTGCCTGGTTTTGTATATGTGGACAAAGGAACCCAGCTCAAGGCCCTGCAGTACGCGAAGTTCTCCGTGAGGGACCTGGATGCGATGGTACAAGACAACCTAGGGATGAAGATCATTGTTTCCAATGCTAAGGCGCACTCTGAGAGGGGAAGAGTTGAGAGAAGGATCAGGGTTCTCCGAGAAACCATGGAGAAGATGGGAGTGAATAGTTCTCATCCCATGACCTGTTTACAGTGGGATACATTATTCTCTAGGATATCCAACTCAGTTGATAACCTCCCCTTAGCTTTAGGAAATAGTTCAAATGAAACTGCTCTGGGTTATGAGATTATTACCCCCAATAGATTGAAATTAGAACGGAATAATTACAGGTCTTTGGAGGGAAGTGGGATTGATTTGAAAATGAGCTCAAATTTTACAAAAATCCTTGAAAGAAACCGGACCATTTACCAACAATGGTACCAGGGTTTTATTGATAATATTCATTTTTTGAGTTTGAGGCCTGATAAATGGTTGAAGTCTGGTCGAACCCCAGTGATTAATGATATTGTGTGCTTTGTGTTTAATGATTCTAGCTGCTCCAAGGAGTCTGTATATTGGAAACTTGGGAGGGTAACGGGGGTTAGTGGTTCTAAAGTTACTCTCAAGTATTCGCTAAAGGCCAAGGGAAATGAGCAAACAGTGGTAAGAAGTGTGAGGGACGTCAGTATAGTTTATGCAGTAGGAGAATTTTTAAGCAATACCCCAGATCATTTAATGATTGTGCAAAAGGTCACCAAAACTCGGAGCAATAGCTCCGGTTGCAAAATTATACTGATGTCCAAGGTTTGCTGCATGAAGGGGGGGGCTAGTATCTTAATAAACAGAGCACACATAATTTTAATCACTGGTATGATGGATGATATTTGGATAGAAGTTATCAAAATGATGAAAATGTATTTATCTAGACTGCTGACGAAGGAGGATTTCCGGAGGGCTGTGAAGGAGAGATGGTTAGCAGAGAGGAGCATAAAATCCAAGGAGAGGATGAGGATGTTAATCCCTGCTCAGTTTCCCCAGGTTTGGGGAGAGACCAGGCTCTCAGCAGATTGGGAATACGAGGAGCGAACCAAGTGGAAAGGGGAGGTTCCTGCTTTACCCGCTCCCAAAGTGAGGTCAGGAGTGAAGCGGAAGAAGAATCCTAGGCCGGGGAAGCTGAAGAGGTTGAGGATGAGGAGTTCAAAGGGGAGTGTGGCTGAGTCTAACGCTGAGGAGCCGGTTGGCCTCTCTCCGTCCCAGCCTTCTCCTGTTTCATCCAGAGGTAGGAGTGGGTTCGGAGAGAGTGTCTCCGGGCCTCAGCAGGAGGATGGCTGTGAGGAGGTGGTGATGCTAGACGAGGAGGATGAGGTGTTTCTGGAGGCTGAGGAGGGGAGGACAGAAGAGGTTGCCTCTTCTAAGAGGATGAGTGCAGCTCGGAGGTTCTCCAGGAGAGTTGTGGAGTTGAAGGATCGGCTAGGGTTGCGTTCCCTGAGGAGATGGATTTAGAGTTGGATGTTCCCTGGGAGGACAGGATGTTTTAAAAAGTGAAGGATTACGTGAATTCAAACTCTAAAAGATTCCAGTGATTGTATTTCAGGTCTAGTTGAGTTATCAGGAAGTTCAAGTCGCGGGGTGCAGATGGAACTTTTTTTCGTTTGCTCTTGGTTGGGCGAGTGTTACGCGAGCCATGCTGCGTGTATAAAGTCTATGTGGTGCCCCTGTGAATTCCTGAGTTCTCCCTGCGGATCTGTACAGAACGTATTGTAAAAAACTAGTTTTAGAAGCTGTTTCCAGACCGACTACGCATGCGCAAGTTTTTTGCGTGGAAGCAAGCATATTCTACCTTAGTATATATTTGTTTTTCATGCAAGTTTGTCTATTATTAAAACCGTGCTAAGAATTCTAGGATCACTGTGGTAATTATTCTTTATATATATATGAATATCGTTTATTTATGTTCGGTTATGGTTTGATATCTTATAAATGTAATGTATTGGTTCCATTCCACAGTTTTTTAATGCCTGAGTTGATTTATTTGTTGTATTTGTATGATTTTATCACTCGATGCTTTTTCTGTGGGTTTATTAAAAATTATTTAGATTGAAATCTCGCAGAAATAAACGTTCGGAACCATATTATTATCCTTTATTATGGAGAGCGGTCAGAAGAGGAAGGCTTACAATCCTATCTTGAGAAATACCGCATGGTACTTATAAAGATTTCATTAGGTCTTTAGGAAAATCGCTAAGTAGCAAAACAACAGTTTAAGCCCATTGTTGACCACTAACTCTGCTAAACTTGTTCATACTAACTAACCAAAGTCAAGTTTTAATTGGGAATAGCCAGGGTTTGCTGAGATCACAGCGAACTTAAATGAGGGAAAAACACTAGGGAGTCAGTGGACCATGTAACAGGTAAAACATGTTTTCTATTGGCTAGGCTGGAGAAAGGACAAGAGTATCTTCATCACAGAGTGTGCTGGTTGACTTCATAGAGAAGAAATAAATTTGAAAAATGTTGAACCAGTTGAGGACCGTGCAAAAATCGGCAATGATGTCTTGTGCATGGACCTTGTCAGTCCACTCACATTGACTCCAGAAAAAATATATTTTCTCACATTAATGTGACAATTTTCCAGGTTTGTCTCAGCTGTACCTATTCCTGATAAGTCTGCTAAAACAGTCTCGGCAGCAATCATGAAACACTGGATAGGCCTCTATGATTCTCCATCTTCCATTAGGACTGATTCAGGCTGGAAGTTTGAAAACTCAGTAATTTTAACTATGATGAGTGCAGTAAACGTAAAAGTCAAAGTGAGGACTCCATATTTGCATAATTTGATTCCCGTTTTAAGATTTCATAGAACTTTGTGGTGACTTTTGAAAGCAAATGGAGAACACAACAGGGAAAAAGTTTACGCAATTTGATTTTAGTGTACAATGCTACTGTAAACCCACCAAGGATGTAGAACCATAGCCTAGTTCATTCAACCCAAGTTTGAGAACTGGACAAACAAATAATATTGATTGTATTTAACCCGTTACTACTGGAGCTGGTAGCAACGGCCAGAGGAAATTTCCAGGGTAGCAAGGTTCAAATCCTGGGAATCCTTATCGGGGGAACACGGATAACGGTGCTTTCGTCGGAAGAGAAAGCAATCTGAACGTCCATTTTGTCCCCGAGAAAAGGGTTAGTCTTGATGAAGGATCTGAAGAGAGCGGTCGATCACAGCTCCAGTAGCTCCGAGAGGAGAATTAGCTCCATCTATGATTCCAGGATTAACTTCGGTTGATCCTCAGTTTGTATTTTAATAATAATGTAAAATAAATGTCCGTGCAAAGTTAGTGCTTTAATCGATTCCATCTGGCTTGTTATATTGAGTTTCTCTTTGTAAAGTTGCCTTTATTGAGTTCTTTATACATGAGTTTCTATTAAGTTTATACTACACAACATAATTCCACTTTGTACAATCCCAGAGCATATTTTTATAGGCAGAGAGACAAATCTGCCTCAATCCCTGCTCCCCAAGTTTAATGAAGACTCTAAACCCCCCTGCCTCACACTCTAGAGGAGGAGCTCAATCATATCATCAACCTCATGGAGGTCAACAAGAATCTCTAAACCAGTAAACAAATTTGACCCATCCCCTTCACCAAGAACACCCAAGAGAAAATCTTGCACAAGTTTATCGTCAGTAGTCAGGAACACGGGAAGCAAAATATCAGGAAAAATTTTGTCCATAGCACAGACTGACGACCAGTGCTAAATGAAGCATGGGTGAAAAGACCTCGGACCGCCCCCCCCCCAGACACCCAAGAAGTGCAGAAACATAACCAGGACCAGAGCAGCATATCTAGAAAAACTGCACAGGAAGGGAGTATAAAAATCAATCAATCAATAATTAGTATATCAGGATAAAGAAAAGATTAGAATTCTGATGTGTTAACAATTAATGTAAAAACTGGTGATAAAAAAGTGTGTGATTGTTATTTAGAATTGATTAATTGGGTATTTGTGGTCATTTAGCACACAGAATAAAGAATAGAAATACTGATATATTGACCCTCAAGAAACAGAAACCCCTTTTTTTGGATACCCTGTACAGTACAAATCAACAAAGCGGAAGTTTGAGATTTTTAAATGGCGTTGTAAGTTTACCTCTTTTAATGACGTTGCATCAACTGTTGTTGTTGTTGTTGTGTCTACAGGTGTTACTGTAGTAGGTCCTTCTGTTGTTGATTCTACAGTTGTAACTGTAGTAGGTACTTCTGTTGTTGATTCTACAGTTGTTACTGTAGTAGGTAATTCTGTTTTTGATTCTACAGTTGTTACTGTAGTAGGTGCTTCTGTCAATGACTCTGCAGTTGTTACTGTAGAAGGTGCTTCTGTTGTTGATTCTACAGTTGTCACTGTAGTAGGTGCTTCTGTAGTTGGTTCTACAGTTGTTACTGTAGTAGGTTCTTCTGTACTTGGTTCTACAGTTGTTACTGTAGTAGATGCTTGGGCTGTTGATTCTACAGTTGTTACTGTAGTAGGTGCTTCTGTTATTTCTGTAGTAGGTGCTTCTGTTGTTGATTCTACAGTTGTCACTGTAGTAGGTGCTTCTGTTGTTGACTCTACAGTTGTTACTGTAGTAGGTGCATCTGTTGTTGATTCAACAGTTGTCACTGTAGTAGGTGCTTCTGTAGTTGGTTCTACAGTTGTTACTGTAGTAGGTAATTCTGTTGTTGATTCTACAGTTGTTACTGTAGTAGGTGCTTCTGTTATTACTGTAGTAGGTGCTTCTGTTGTTGATTCTTCAGATGTTACTGTAGTAGGTGATTCTGTTGTTGATTCTACAGTTTTTATTGTAGTAGGTGCTTCTGTTGTTGATTCCACAGTTGTTACCGTAGTAGGTGCTTCTGTTGTTGATTCCCCTGTAATTACTGTAGTCCGTGCTTCTGTAGTTACTGTGGTAGGCGGTTCTGTTGTTACTGTAGTAGGTGGTTCTGTTGTTACTGTAGTAGGTGCTTCTGTTGTCACTGTTGTAGGTGGTTCCGTTGTTACTGTAGTAGGTGCTTCTGTTGTTGGTTCTACAGTTGTTACTGTAGTAGGTGCTACTTTGGTTGATTCATCAGTTGTTACTGTAGTAGGTGCTTCTGTTGCTAGTTCTACAGTTGTTGCTGTAGTTGGTGTATCTGTTGTTGATTCTACAGTTGTTACTGTAGTAGGTGCTTCTGTAGTTGGTTCTACAGTTGTTACTGTAGTAGGTACTTCTGTTGTTGGTTCTACAGTTGTCACTGTAGTAGGTGCTACTGTGATTGATTCATTAGTTGTTACTGTAGTAGGTGCTTCTGTTGCTAGTTCTACAGCTGTTGCTGTAGTTGATGCTTCTGTTGTTGGTTCTACAGTTGTTACTGTAGTAGGTGCTTCTGTAGTTGGTTCTACAGTTGTTACTGTAGTAGGTACTTCTGTTGTTAGTTCTGCAGTTGTTGCTGTAGTTGGTGCATCTGTTGTTGTTTCTAGAGTTGTGACTATAGTAGGTGGTTGTTTGGTTAAACTTTTGCGTTTATGTTTCAGTTCCTGAATACGTTCAATTACCTCCTGTTTAGAATCTGAAATTTTAGCCTTCAGACCAGAACAGAATTTCCATGCTGAGATGCCTCTCTTGATTGCGTGGACATATTGGATTGCTCTATTAGGATTAGATCTTACAAATGATTTTACAATGTCCATATAGTTTAGACAGTCACTACATGAGGTGGGATCACTCACGGATCGTTTTTTTCTTCTTCTCTCCACCGAGACATCTAAGTCATTCAAAGCTATTGAAAGAGTTTCCAAGTTTCCCAATTCAGTATCAATTTCTTCCAAAGTTAGAACCTGTAAAAATATTGCTACTTGAAGGTAGAGTTTAAAATTTACAAATAAGGTTCAGCTTCAGATTTGTGACTGATAACTACTGGTTCAAGTTAAAGGGGTTTTATAAATTATAAAAATTGTTCTTTTTTTTAATGCTTTTGATATTTTTAAATGAAAAATCTGTAATGGTTCAGTGCCCTATGACTATTAAGAGGACCAAAAAAAATTACCAATTTTTTATAAAGTTCTTGTTTAAAATGCTAGATCTCTAATTGGTTTTGATTTCAGACTGAGAAATCAGATCTAAATCAGTGATTCAGTATGTAATTTAAGTTGAACTTGGTTTTTTGCTAGTCAAGTTCAGCATTTTAAAAGAGATTTCTCCTGTAAAACATTATGTGTACCTCTTCTGTTGTTGATTCTACAGTTGTTACAGTAGTAGGTGCTTCTGTTGTTGATTCTACAGTTGTTACTGTAGTAGTTGCTTCTGTTGTTGATTCTGGAGGTGTTACAGTAGTAGGTGATTCTGTTGTTGATTCTACAGTTATTACAGTAGTAGGTGATTCTGTTGTTGGTTCTACAGTTTTTTCTGTAGAAGGTGCTTCTGTTGTTGATTCTACAGTTGTTACGGTAGTAGGTGCTTCTGTTGTTGGTTCTACAGTTGTAGCTGTAGTAGGTGCTTCTGTTGATGATTCTACAGTTGTTACAGTAGTAGGTGTTTCTGTTGTTGATTCTACAGTTGTTACTGTAGTAGTTAGTAGTTGATTCTACAGTTGTTACTGTAGTAGGTGCTTCTGTTGTTGGTTCTACAGTTGTTACTGTAGTAGGTACTTCTGTTGTTGATTCTACAGTTGTTACTGTAGTAGATGCTTCTGTTGTTGATTCTACAGTTGTTACTGTAGTAGATGCTTCTGTTGTTGGTTCTACAGTTGTTACTGTAGTAGGTGCTTCTGTTGTTGATTCTACAGTTGTTATTGTAGTAAGTGATTTTTGTGTTGATTCTTCAGTTGTTATTGTAGTAAGTGATTCTGTTGTTGATTCTACAGTTGTTACTGTAGTAGGTGCTTCTGTTGTTGATTCTACAGTTGTTACTGTCGTAGATGCTTCTGTTGTTGATTCTACAGTTGTTACTGTCGTAGGTGATTTTGTTGTTGATTCTACAGTTGTTACTGTAGTAGATGCTTCTGTTGTTGATTCTACAGTTGTTACTGTATTAGGTGATTTTGTTGTTGATTCTACAGTTGTTGCTGTAGTAGGTGCTTCTGTTGTTGATTCTACAGTTGTTGCTGTAGTAGGTGCTTCTGTTGTTGATTCTACAGGTGTTATTCTAGTAGGTGCTTCTGTAGTTAGTTCTACAGTTGTTATTGTAGTAGGTGATTCTGTTGTTGATTCCACTGTTGTTAGTGTAGTAGGTGTTTCTGTTGTTGATTCCACAGTTGTTACTGGAAAAGGTGCTTCTGTTGTTGATTCTATAGTTGTTACTGTAGTAGGTGCTTCTGTTGTTGATTCTACAGTTGTAACTGTCGTAGGTGATTCTGTTGTTGGTTCTTCAGTTGTTATTGTAGTAGGCGATTCTGTTGTTGATTCTACAGTTGTTACTGTAGTAGGTGCTTGCTTCTGTTGTTGATTCTACAGTTGTTACTGTAGTAGATGCTTCTGTTGTTGATTCTACAGTTGTTACTGTAGTAGATGCTTCTGTCGTTGATTCTGCAGTTGTTATTGTATTAGGTGATTCTGTTCTTGATTCTACAGTTGTTATTGTAGTAAGTGATTTTTGTGTTGATTCTGGAGTTGTTTCCGTAGTAGGTGCTTCTGTTGAAACTGTAATAGGGGGTTTAGTTGTTACTGTAGTAGGTGGTTCTGTTGTAAATGTTGTAGGGGGCTCAGTTGTAACTGTTGTAGGTGATTCTGTTGTTACTGTAGTAGGTGGTTCTGGTGTTACTGTAGTAGGTGGTTCTGTTGTAACTGTATTAGGGGGTTCAGTTGTTACTGTAGTAGATTGTTCTGTTGTTACTGTAGTAGGTGTTTTTGTTGTTACTGTGGTAGGTTCTTCTGTTGTTATTGTAGTAGGTGGTTCTGTTCTTACTGTAGTAGGTGGTTCAGTTGTTACTGAAGTAGGTTCTTCTGTCTTTATTGTAGTAGGTGGTTCTGGTGTTACTGTAGTAGGTGGTTCTGTTGTAACTGTAGTAGGTGGTTCAGTTGTTACTGAAGTAGCTGGTTCAGTTGTTACTGTAGTAGGTGGTTTAGTTTTGATTGTGGTAGGTTGTTCTGTTGTTTCTGTAGTAGGTGGTTCAGTTGCTACTGTGGTAGGTGGTTCAGTTGTTACTGTAGTAGGTGGTTCAGTTGCTACTGTAGTAGGTGGTTCAGTTGTTACTGTAGTAGGTGGTTCAGTTGCTACTGTGGTAGGTGGTTCAGTTGCTCCTGAAGTAGGTGGTTCAGTTGCTACTGAAGTAGGTGGTTCTGTTGGTTCAATGGTTGTTATACCAGCTGAAATTAATTGGACTTTTATCGCTTTCAACCGATTTTTTATTATCTTTATAAGAAATCCAGTTTTTTGTTTAACAGAAGAGCATGATAATCCGGACCGAACAGCTTTTCTTACTGCAGCTATATAAGGTAGCCCTGCTCCCTTTGTGGGTTTATCTTTAACCATTGGAATAACTTTATCCAAATAATCTTCCATTGTCGTACAATTAGAAGGTGTTGTAAGTTCACGTCGCTGCCTTGATCCTGGTGTTGCTTCATTCAAGTCTGTTACAGCGTTTAAGAGGTTTGTTAGGTCAGTTCTTTCTTCTTCTAAACTTGTTATTTCTTCTTGTGATAACACCTAAATTTAAAATTTAAAAGTTAGACTTTTTGTGTCCTTTGTTTTAAGTTTTAGAATTCAAGTTTAATGTTAGGTTATTTTTACTCATAAAAGAGCCGTTTTTATTTTTAAATTATTTATTTGGTTTTCAATCAAGAGACCCGCTCGGGCTCCTCAAAAGTTTTACAGATCTATATTTGTAGAATCTAAAGGTAATCCTTGTTAAAAATATTTGAATAAAGATTTTGCCGCAACTTTTATTCAATTTTTTTTATCACCTGTCGAAAAAATACTTTGCATAATGTAATAAAAGCTAACTTGTAAAATCTCTAGATCTTGCTAGTTTTCGCATGGAGCCAAATAACCATATATATTATATAAAGGGTCAAACCAAAAAACCTATTGAAAGTTTCGGGTCTTCATTAGAATGTCATCTTTTGTATGAAACCCTGTGCATGTAAAAACGCACAAAATAATTTGTAAAAATATACCTTACAGCCCACATCAGGAGCAATTGTGAGGGGAACCATTCGAAAACAGTATTCATCATTGTCCTAAATTTAACAGTATTCATCATTGTCCTAAATTTAACAGTATTCATCATTGTCCTTAATTTAACAGTATTCATCATTGTCCTAAATTTAACAGTATTCAACATTTTTCTAAATTTAACAGTATTCTTCATTGTCCTAAATTTAACAGTATTCTTCATTATCCTAAACTTAACAGTGTTCATCATTGTCCTAAATTTAGCAGTATTCATCATTGTCCTAAATTTAACAGTATTCTTCATTGTCCTAAATTTTACAGTATTCATCATTATCCTAAATTTAACAGTATTCATCATTGTCCTAAATTTAACAGTATTCATCATTGTCCTAAAATTAACAGTATTCATCATTGTCCTAAATTTAACAGTATTCATAATTTTTCTAAATTTAACAGTATTCATAATTTTTCTAAATTTAGAGTATTCTTCATTGTCCTAAATTTAACAGTATTTATCATTGTCCTAAATTTAACAGTATTCATCATTGTCCTAAATTTAATAGTATTCATCATTGTCCTAAATTTAACAGTATTCATCATTATCCTAAATTTAACATTATTCATCATTGTCCTAAATTTAACAGTATTTATCATTGTCCTAAATTTAACAGTATTCATCATTGTCCTAAATTTAACAGTATTCATCATTGTCCTGAATTTAACAGTATTCATCATTATCCTAAATTTAACAGTATTCATAATTGTCCTAAATTTAACAGTATTCATCATTATCCTAAATTTAACAGTATTCATAATTGTCCTAAATTTAACAGTATATTTTCCTAAATTTAACAGTATTCATCATTGTCCTAAATTTAACAGTATTCTTCATTTTCCTAAATTTAACAGTATTCGTCATTTTTATCGGAGTCCTAATTTTACCGGAATTCCATTTTTGTTCTTAAATTTATTATTTCAAGGGAATTTTTTCATTGTTTGTATATATATCTTTATAATATATACATAATTGGAAAAATACAAAAAAAATAATTCCAATTCAGGTCTTTTATCATTAACAAAAATGTGTTTACTCAAAATAAAAGATTTTTTTAGTCAAAATTGTAAAATTTTAGAATTTATTTGGCTGAATGCATGAATTTCTTCTTATTATGAAAAGATGAATAAGATATATTTGAACTATGTAGAATTATCCATTTACCTTTAAATAAATACATCCATCCTTGCATTCTTCCCTAGTTGGTCCATCGTTGCTCAGCAGAAAGTAATCTCCGTTAAGACTTGAATTTGTCGCTCCTTAACATTTTTTTTTTATCAAACACTAGCCGCAGGTTCCGTCATTGTCAGTGGAATTAATGAAAGTCGAATTTGTTTAGTCTATGTGTTACCACCAGCATGGGGTACCCAATAGAAATTTATGGTGCTAACATATATCTTTTCTCTATCTCATTATCCAATTAGAGATGTGAATCTATAGTGCTTTTTTAATATCTACGTACAATTTCCGATTTAATAGTACAAAGTTAGGCCTGTAGATCTGAAAATGACAATTTTAACCCTATTCCTTGGTTTTCAAGTACCCCAGCAGGGATAGGGTTAAAGATCCTATAGTTTCCAACTGGAGTGAGTAACTTGGTAAAAATAAATATAATCTCCGTTTGCACATATGGGTCTATGCAGACTTGTTTGTAATCGGATTTTCAAGATTGAGACCATTTTTAATACCGACGTTCAACTTACGATTCAATGAGCCCAATTTTAGGCTTGTAGATTTAAAAATAACAATTGTACTGTAATAAACTGTAACCTAACACTAGATATAAAATTGTGCAAACGGAGATATTCTTTTACTATTTACTTTGCTCTAGTTTGAAGTTTAGGAGCCTATAAAAATGTTATTTTTAGATCTAAGTCTAAAATTGGACTCATAGAATCGGAAATTGTACGCCGATATTAAAAATGGTCTCAATCTTGAAAATTAATTACAATCAAGTCTGTAGACCCTTATTCAAAATTGTGGAAACGGAGATTATCTTATTTTTACCAAATTACTCACTCCAGTTGGAAACTTTAGGAGCTAAAAAATTGTTATTTTTAGATCTGCAAGCCTAAAATTGTGCTTATTTACTCGTAAATTGTACGTCGATATTAAAAATTGTTTGAAAAGATATAGAAATTTTAAAAATATCAGTGTTTGACATAAATTTAGTGCCTGTATAATAAATCCTCGTTTTTCAATTCCTTTACCTTCAACAGTTTTTACTTCACAGCAATCTTCTAGTGCAGCTATGGTGACCCGGAACAAAAGAGAACCAATGCACAGGGTTCCTGAAATCAAAGCAAATCAAATCTTAAGTATGGTTGATGTTGTTTTAACGCAATTTTACTATTAAATGTAACCCAAGTTTATTTATGAAATATATGTGAAAAACCAGATGTGAATTGAACAGTATAACATAATATCCGGCTACATTACAGAGAAGCTAGGTTATATATAGCTTATGAAATATATGTGAAAAACCAGATGTGAATTGAACAGTATAACATAATATCCGGCTACATTACAGAGAAGCTAGGTTATATATAGCTTATGAAATATATGTGGAAAACAAGATGTGAATTGAACAGTATAACATAATATCCGGCTACATGATGTAGAAGCTAGGTTATATATAGCTTATGAAATAAATGTGAAAAACAAGATGTGAATTGAACAGGATAACATAATATCCGGCTAAATGGCAGAGAAGCTAGGTTATATAGTTTATGAAAGTTGTCTTTAGCTCCGCCATACCTGGCAATTTTATTCCATTTTTTCAAATCTTAACCAAATATTTACTTTCATATTCCACAGTTTTATGGGTATTACTGTAGTGATAACCAATTGAAAACGAAAGAATTGTTGCCTCCCTTTTTATTATGATCAGAAATGTCGTTAGGGCCTCCATGTTGAATAAATTGAACCGCAGATTAAGAAAAGAACAAGATCAGACCTAGATCTCGAAATCCACAATACATGAGTTCCCAACATTATTAGTCCGAATAAAGATATATAAATATTTTCCTTTCCTTCATTATCTGTTCTAAATTTAGAATGAAAAAATTGACTCCCTAGAAAAGAGCTGGGAACTTCTAAAGGAAAAGAATAAATTTAACTTATTCCATTTTATCAAAATAGTTCAGATTGGAATCAAATTTTTCTGAATAATATACGTCGGCAAATGTTGTATGGGCGCTATACGGGTTTTACAAATTTCTGCAATATATGAAAAATAAAAAAATTCACCGACGACATATATTCAAATTAAAATTTTCTTGATTTTTTTTGATAAATATTTTACCTAACATATAAAGATACAATGCGGTCTGCATGTTCAGTGCTAACTGTTAGGAATGAGAAAACTAATTTGGAAACAACAATAATTAATATTTTGTAATTTTTCCATTCGCAGATGTTAAATGAGCTTAAGTAGCAAGCAATGAGTAATTAGCGAGAGTTATTAGTGCTTCAAAGCTTTTCTGAAAATACTACGTAAGAATGGAAATGTTTAATACAATAAATTTAATTGTTGAGTACTTTATACCTAGACGGCATGTACCTTTTGTTTACAAAAACACCTTTGAACTATTAAACCAGAATCTGACAGTTTCGTTCCTTTAAAAATAAAGCTATGGATATAAAATGTAACTATGTATATTTTGAAAGCCAATGAAATATGGAGTTTTAAATATGTGTTACATACAAATGCTTATGTTTGGCCACCAAATAATTTAATTACATTTTTTAGATACATTTTTTGAAGCAACATACAGTGAAAACCAGAAAACTGTGGAATAAAACGAAGACATATCATCAGATAAGACAGATATAAATAAAAAATAATGAAGTTTTATGACATGAAAACTATAGTCACAAGTTTGAATCTTTTTGGGACTCATTGTATTGAATTTGTGGAATTTTTTAAAACTTCAATGTTTTAAAAACTAAGATTATTGGCAAGAAGGGCAAAGAAAAATATTTTATTTTGTTCTAGGTGTAGAGGTTTACAAATCAAATTTTATTATGCCGGCGTGTGATGTATAATTTGTTCAATCTTCTTCATAAATATCAGTTTATAAAATGTGATTATAATTCATTTTGAAAATTTTTTTTTCAATTTTAAATAAATGAAAAATATTGTTTGGATTTCTGACAAATGTTGCAAGTATAAATCTTTTGTTTTTACATTGCTCTGACTACTAAATATTGTATGTACAGGGTGTCCCACGAAACATGACAGTTGGCGAATGGTTTTTAATGTCTTCTTCCTTATACTATATTTGATAAAGACTTTTTGCAGTTTATTTCGTTAGAAAAATCTTTTACTCAATTATATTTTACTTTGAAATCAATTTCCCTATAAAATTACTGCCATGTTGTATTTCTTTTCAATGATAATTAATCTCTTTTGTATCAAAGAACTTAACAAATTATCGAAGAAGACATTTAAAACTATTCACCAACTGTGGGACACCCTGTAGTTCAGGTGCTTTTATTTCCAACTTAAAACTAAAAAAATTAAACAAATTCTTTTTTTTGAGTGCTTTTCTGGATTTTGCATTTTGCCAATTAATCTGAAAAATATTAATACAACTTTACGTCAGCAGTGGATAAATGTCGTCTTCCAGATTCTATCTCAATTTTATCATGATTTTACGTGAAAGATTGAATCTTGTGAATCGGAAATGCCCCTCCTTTTATATAATGAAGGGTCACTTGAAACTAAAACAACAGTTCTTTAAATCAATAAACATTTCAGATTGTTAGTTTAAAATTTGACACCCTGTAGTACAGTACAAGTGTCCTAATAAACATGGGAATTAATTGACGACTTCTATATCATCTTTGTTCCATGCTGGATTATTTCGAAAATATAATTTTGTAGTACCACAATTGAAACATTTAACACCAAAAAGTACTAGTCTCGGGATTTTCAAATTGTGGTCTACCAATTTTTTTATCTTCAAAATTACCGGAAATATTAGGAAATTTGTCCGGATTCCAGTTTATTAAAAATTAACAAAACTGTTCAAATGTTAATATTTCCGTCAATTTTAATGATACAGAAAAAGGTAGACCGCATTTTGGTAAGCTCATAAGACTTTCAATCTTATTTAATGCTCTTAGTGTAAATTATCAATTATCGAAAATCAAAGGCGATATTCAATTCCCATGTTCCCATGTGTACGTGCTGTAAATATTTAATCGACAAAATTTACATAAAACACCGGGGTTTCTGGTAAAAACGATATTTTGAAAGAACATTGTGGCTCTCACTAGCATCGTCAGACAGCTAGAAGGGGTTAGTTGTGTTAAAAAATTAAACTATTGTGTTTATTTTCAAATCTGTGAAGAACCTGTGTGATGACCGACATCACTAACAGATTTAGATTAATAGAAATCACTTTAAATTAATAACAGGGTGAAACAGCTTGTGTACATTTCACATTAAGGTAAAGAGAAATACAAACAGGTTTCACTTTTTTGGCATAATTTTAAAAGTCATAAACTAAGATTTTGGGTGTATCAGACAATTTTAAATCAAAATATTTTTATCATTTAAACAGAAATCTTCTGATAAAAACCAAAATATTATATTTCAGTCCATTTACCACTTCACATTTAGAAACTATAGTTTCAGCAAGGATTAATTAAATTTTTTAGAAACATACATAATGCAGTAATCTCTTTTGACTGAGTTAATATTTTTAAAAAAACAAGGGTATTAAAGCAACAAGGAATAAGATTGATTCTCAGAAAGTTGGGATGGGGGGCTGAATGGAAGGGGGCTGAGGAGGGGCGGAACCGAATGGGAGTGGGGAACCGACTGGGAGGGGGGTAAGCCGAATGGGAGGGGAGCTTAGGGGTAGGGGGAAGGCGAGGGGGAGGGGTGGCTGAGGGAGAGGTGGGAGCTGAGTGGGGGGGGGAGTAGAATAGATTCGTCGTAACCCCCCCCCCTCTAGCCGTGGGTGCAGCTATGGTTTCAAATTTGTTTGGTTTAAAACTAAATCTTAGTCTTGGTTCTGTATTAATTAGTGTTGACCCAAATATTATGGAACAGCTTGATGTTAGTATTAGAGCGTCAGATGTTTTAGCAACAAGCATTTATCCTTTCATAGAATTTATGCCTAGGTTTTCTTAGTTTAATTCTATAATCTATCATCTCCGTTTTTTAGATGTTTTCTTCTCTACATTATTTTTTCTCATTTATTTCTATATTAACCTATTCTCTTTTCATAAATTTATATTCAATGTATATCAACCCCTTCTTCGACTCACCCTTTTTATATAGCCAAATTATTTTTCTAATTTTTATTCTTTTTTTCTTTTATTGCTCTTTGCCTTTTTTATTCCATCTTTTTTCCTTATTTATTTATCTTATTTCCATTTTATTTCCTTATGTATTCCCATAGTACCTTTATTTCTCCACATGTTCCTCTTCCTTCCTTCTTTTAATTTCGTTTCTCCTTATTTTATGTAAAATATACATACAATATTCATAAATGCTTCATCGTTAACCTTAATGATACTTAGACCTTAGAATTAAACTTGATTTAATTATTTGGTTTATATCTTTAAATTCTTCACGGGCGGGCGGTTGAAGAATTCATGGTTTGTTTCGTAACTAACCATCACAGCTGTTTCAGGTTTAAGCTAATCAAATCCTCACAAGGTCACAATTTTATTGCGAAATGACGAAAACATAATTAGTGTTTTTTAGTAAACAGTTTTATCATTAATGATTTTTTAAAAGTGTGCACTCATGGTCGCTTCATGGTAAATTGCATTATAGACGTGCTTTAGAAGTAATCATCATGCTGTATAATTTTGAATTCGCTGTTTATCATAAGTGCTATAAAGTTTCATCGGTTCCCGGATTTTCTCAAATTTACCTATTAAACACTATTATTTGGCACACGTCTTATAAAGATTTTGAACTTAAATTTTCTTTGATTTTCTGATATTTGATTATTTGATAATATAATCTTAAAAAGCTTAAACGTTGCTTAAACCTTCTCGATAAAGAGAAATCTTTATAGCGCTGCAAACAAAAATATTATTGTTATGAATAAGTCCTCAGATTAAAGTTGGTTTTAGTGATATTTGACAGAAGTTTTTAGAATAACTCGTTTTTTGATGGTCAAACATTCGAAAAAAAATGTGAATAATGGGAGAGACTGAAGTTTTCAATAATAATTGGAGACTACTGGAGAGTACCGGAGGGTTCTAAATCCAGTGGAGAGAAAATTATTGCTACTGGAGAGCTTTTAAATTTTTACCAAAATATAAATTCTACCGGAGGGTTTTCTTTTCCACTGGAGTACAAACTATTCATATCAGGGAGCCTTGGAATTTGAACCTAAATTGAGCTTTCTTCCCTTATTATTCCAAAAAAATGTGTCCAAATCTCGAATTTTTCGAGGCACCCCCCCCCTCCCCAACCCCGGTTTGTAACCTTGGTTTGCACGATAAATGCAACAAAAAATGCAGTGTGAGTGTTTACAGTGTACACATCACATTTGTAGAATGATTCAGCAATTATTTGCACTGTTGCTGTTGCAATATTTTTAAGGATGATTTAGCGGAATTCAAACCATTGACAACAAAGCATCATTTTTGTCCATCGGTCAGTTTAAATTGTGTGTGGAGGTCTAATGTGTTGTTGCAGAATATGTAATAGTTGTCTGTGAAATCTAAATGTTTTTATGTTAAACGATAATTCCTATTTGTCTGTGAAATCTAAATGTTTGTATGTTAAACGATTATTCATATTTGTCTGTGGAATCTAAATGTTTGTATGTTAAACGATTATTCATATTTGTCCATGAAATCTGAATGTGTATCTGCTATCTATTAAATGATCAGTCCTGATTTTCAGTGGAATCTGAATGTGTTCCTGTTAAAGGATCAGTTCTTTTTGTCCTTGGAATCTGAACTGAATGTGTGTCTGTTAAAGGATCAGTCCTGATAGTCTGTGGAATCTGAATGTGTGTCTGTTAACGAATCACTCTAAATTGTCCGTGGAATGTTTGTCTGTTATCCGTATAGAATATGAATGTGTGTCTGTTAAAAACATCTGGTGACTAAATGTTACATATGCCTTTATTCCAAGGATTTTAGTTCAATAAAAGCTAAACATTGAAAATGAAGTATGGGGGGGGGGGAATAGCAATATTATAACTGTCTGTATAGTTAACTGTGTGTTCGTGATTATTTAGATTCGCGTAGATTAATAAATTTCACTTGTTCTGGTCTCTTGCTTTCAGGACATACAATACACACCAGATCCAATACACACCAGATACAATACAAACCAGATACAATAGACACCAGATAA